GTTAGTGGTCTCTCCACCCTGTGCCTTTTTCTGTCTCTTATTTCTTGTTATTTTCGGCCTGGTCCCTTTTTGTCCTCGCTCTCTTTATTTCATTTTCTCTTTCCTTACTGTTTCCTTTTATTTTCTTCTCTTTTTCTGTACCAGATGGCCTTGTCTCTGCTTGCGTTGTGAAGTACCAACATTGAACCAACTGGGTGTACCTCTTTCTCTCCGGCCCGTGATGGTGACTCCTCTGGTCTCAGTTGTTGTACCTCGCATAGCGCGCAGAGGGAGTGGAGGACTCCAGAATGTCTGTCGTTGATTTATATTGACTTGCGGACCCCTCGGGGCCATTTTATTTGAGTGTACCTTTTTAGGGAAAGTTAGCCTGCGACCACGGGAATCGACCGCGTCCAGTGTTGTATCAGCACGGATATACGAAGGTACTGGGTGGAGAGAGATCGGAACGGTTTTTAATGTGAAGACAACAACACACATACCCCGACCCTCAATCCTGTAATATACGGCAAAGTTGGTACCATCAAATCGAATCCAAAGCAACTAACTGCTGAACCCCCAAACTCCCCGATCCATCTGCTCGGAAATTTCTTGCTTGCAATAATCTGTCAATGCTGTGAGTACGTCAAACAGGTGCAAAGAGCGGCCCGCAGGACACAAAAGGGGGGTACGCGGCAGACAACAGCGTGGTACCCAATTATCGTACATTCTGCCGGGCCCGCTGGTGCTCAGAAAAGGTTTCCTTAAAGCGGGGAGTTTCCATAACGCGAGCGTCCTTAAAGCGGGATGGCTGTAGTACATGATAACAGGAGAAAGATCTCTCTCTTGCTGTGAACGGAACAAACTCACACACAGGTACGGAGAGGAAACAGCAGTATAAAAAATCGATCAACGGGCGTTGTGGTTGTTGTGGCGACGTTGTCTCTGGCTTTCCGGCCGGCTGTCTCTGGTTTCTTCCCGTGGGTTCGCTCGGAGACAGAAGAACAACGTTTTTGCGTTTAGCGAGATCTTGCTCTCTCTAGCACTACTGAGGTCAGGGGGGTTGAAGGTTTACTTCAAGGTTCCGGACTTCACCGTCCGTTCCAGACTTTCGGTGCCCAACAGATACATACAGCAGTAATCTCGCTGGAGGGCACGAGCAACAGAGCACGTACAGAGTGCTTTCGAAACATCTAAGATTCGCACATTATCAACAGGTGAACAGGAACGACGTCAACAGCAGCGGTGACGACAAGACCTAGACTTTTTCTCACATATCCCTGTTCTTCTCCCGCTCCCTTGGAGAGTGTTGCTACTGCTGTGTGTGGCGAATCAAGACGACAGAGTGAGATAGACGCCCGCAAGAGAACGAAATAAACCTGACCCGCCTCATGCGGACACACCAGCATGTGGAAAAAACGGTTAAGAAGCAAGATTGCGATCTTTCCATCGAGTTCTTGCAAAATCGCGCATCCGTTGTCGTCTTCCATTAAAAACTGTTCCGATCTCTATGTAATACATCCATGAGAACAAAAAAAGAAAGAGACGTAAGCAGCTCCGCCCATCCTCCGCCGGAATCGGTCCCAGTCCCTGAGCTCTTGTATCATTACACGACCGAAACACTAACCGTCAATAGGCGATGCGCGCCAGCGCGGACGAAAAACAAGCACTACTCTAAACGAGAGCAAACTTCTCATACGCCCTCCCCCGGGTGTTCGCCCTCCCCCCACACAACCCCTCCCCCTACTACGCTCTCAGGTGGCCTGTTGCAGCCGCCCCGTTTCCAAGGACCTCGCTCTTAGAACACTACAGAGTAAATAGTTAATAGTTACGCACCCCGACGCAGCTTCTTGATTCTGCTTGGTGCGTCGAAAAACTGACCTTTTTGCGTTGGAGAATCAAGTTCCTAACTCCCTTCGGGAGTCCCTTCGGGAGTCCCTTCGGGAGTCCCTTCGGGAGGAATCATGATAAATGTATTTTCAACAAATGAAGAGAAACATGCCGGTGTCAGTGTCTTACCTCTCGTGGTGCCACTTTGGTTAGAAGTGGCGTTCCCTGTATTCCACGCACCCCCCAAATCCCCGACGTTCCCCACCACCACCTTCAAACTACAACCCTGATCAGCTGGCTCAGCTTGAATTTGAACAGAGCTACGTAGACGGTCTACGCCAACCATCATTTCTAACAAAAATGCACAAGAGTAAAAACTGCTACCGTGGTAGATGGATACAAGCGCCCTGACGTCGGAGTCAGCACAACAAACTCAAGCCTGGATACCCAGTTCCCCCCCAAACAACCCTCCTGTTGCACAGTTCCCATCCTCTCTCCACAAGCAACGTTAGGAGGTTCCCCGCCGAACAACAAAATTCCAGCTTGCTGCAAGGGCGTCTTGTTCTTCAACTTGTAACAAGCGATGTTTCTTGTATGTACCTACCTACTGCTTGCACACAAGTATTCATCAATAGACAAAACACACAAGAACAAAAAAACGAAAGGTGAATATACTTTAAAAAACGTGTATGGTATGAACAAGGGAACGCATCACTGGACGTAACAAACCCGATACACCTACCTCGTTTCGCTTTTGCGAACACGGTTAACCCCGCCCGCCGCTCCCGAGTCACAGACAGGCTCGCGTGACCCTCGTTCCCTCCCTTGGTAAAATAGCGACCATGCCACTCACGAGGGAAAATGTCGCACGGCTGCAAGAGCCGCGCCATTCCGCCGCGATAGCGGCAACGCGCAGACTACTGTAATCAGACTTCAAAAGGTTAACGCCCTCGACGCACACCCTAAAAAACTACCGAATCTCGATCCCAGGTACCCAACACCACTTACATCGTGGCGCACGGTCTTCATGTGTACCCCCAGTCGCAGAATGAGAATACGAAGAGGCACAACTTGAGCTTCATCGCTCAAGCTCAAATAAGAGAACACACCCGATTAAGAGACCACATCTAAACCAACAAAAAAGAAAAGTCAGCAACCACACGGCATCCCCCGGCACTCGCACTCACGTCGACACCACTACCGTAGACAGGGAGCAGGACACCCATCACGGACAGCCGACACCATAATCAACAACAGTACTTCAGTTACAATATGCATACAACAACTAAATAGCGGTTACACAACAGCAGCAACATCGCAGCAGAACAGCAGCAGCAACCAATCGCACCCGCAAACACAACCGAAAATTCAACAGCGGTCCGCTACCCCCCTTGCCCGCGCCCGCCCATCCACCCGCGGTGCCCCCCGATCCCTATGCCTCAACGCCAACAGCAGCAGCAGCAACTCATACCAATCCGCCAGAAAACAACTGCCAAAACCAAAAATGAGTACGAACCGAACCAAGGTGGTGCCACGACCAGGCCAAAAAAAAAAGCCAAGCGTCGCCGCCCCAGTTGGCCACGCCAAACATCTTTTGGCGACGACGCCAACAAAGGAAAGGGCCTCCTGCCCGGCCCGGCCCTAGCGACGCCCCCCAACACCGCTCACCGTTGCGACTGCCTGTCTAACCCTACCTTGAAAAAACGGCGACGACTACGGAGCTGACGCTGACGCCGACGCCGCTCTGTCCCCGAAAAACCCGTTCGGGCTGAGGTTAGCCGGCGCCGGCGCCCACCCGCTATTCCCCGACGAGGTCTTACTGCCCAATCCGGATCTCCCTCCCCCGGGTCCGCCGCCGCCGCCGCCGCCGCCGCCGAACGCAACTGCGCCGTTTTCCCGCGGCGGCGGCGTGCGCGCCCCTGCTCCCGATCCCGCTCCGGCAGCAGTGGCGGCTGCGACGGCGGCGGCGGTGCCCCCGCCGCCACCGGCGCCCGCCCCGCCCTCTCCCTGTTCCTGGCTCTGCTGCTGAGAGGAGGGCAGGTCAGGCGTNGCGACGGCGGCGGCGATGCCCCCGCCGCCACCGGCGCCCGCCCCGCCCTCTCCCTGTTCCTGGCTCTGCTGCTGAGAGGAGGGCAGGTCAGGCGTGTCCACCCGGAGGTAGCGCACGTTTCGGCCGGTGAGGTAGTCCGTCTTTTCGACCACCATGGTGTCCAGCCGGAGCCAGGCGCGCGGGGTATGTACAGCGAAGGTCTAGGAGGGTACAGCGGCGAGGGCGGGGGGCGGACCCGGGCCCGTAAAGAAAACATAACCCACGAACGTGAGGAGCGGACAAGAGGGGAGGTGCATAGGGGAGAGGGTCGGTCGGTCAAGGGTTGAATCGAATGCTTCAAACGAACAAGTGCAAGGAACAGAAACATACCCTCTCCGCGCGCACGCATCCAGAGTCAATCGTACGCACACGCCTGCTGCGCGGCTGCTGCTTTCCCCGATGACTACCAGAACCCCACGAAGCATCCGAGGCGTGCGTGCCTCAGCAATCGCGCTTGGACGAAGGTACGCACGTACCTATCAGCCCGTGCACGTGTCCGAGACTTCGGCTACTTCTCGGGGACACATGCATGGCCTGATACGTGCATATCCGACCGCGATTCTGCTTTTTGTTACGTTATGCGACGCCTTGGATGCTTGTTGAAGTTCCCGGTTCCAATACAGACAAAACTGACTGGGCTCTTTATCGGCCAGCAGGAAAAAACACCCCCCAGAACGGGCTCCACCCTTGTCATGCCTCCTCGATCAGGCTCAACTCCCTTGCCTCCTCAGGCGCTGCCATGGCAGAAAACAGTCTCATTCTTCGCGCGCGGGGTGAGTGAGTGTCGTACAGCGCACGCCCCACTCTGTGTGCGCAAGCAAGGATGTGCGTATCTGCGTAACGTGCTCCGCGCGCTCCTGCAGAGGGAGACAACGAGGTGCCCGCACGTTCTGGGTGGTGCCCGCACGTTCTGAGTGGTGCCCGGGCGCTCGACAGTGCCTGTGGTCTCGGGCTTGGCGGACGGCTCGACGTCAGCCACACTACCATGCTCGTATATGGACCACCGTGGCGAGAAAACAAGTTGTTTTATGAGAAGGTAGAACAGGGAGGGGGTACGCATACCCTCTTCCCTAACCCTAACCTAACTTCCTCGATTGTATTCTGTGTCTCATATGTTTACACGATGGTACGAAAAATCCTGCAAAAAGCTACTGGATTACTCTGCATGAGCGAGCAGGGATGTGCTTCGCATTTGACACATTCCTCCCCGCTGTTGCGTGCGGAGGTCGTTCGTGTCGGATTTCGAGAGCGCGTCAAAAGCGTGTTCTTCGCGTTTGGCTTGATCTGCAAGTGGGGAAATGAAGGGATTTGAGTCTGATCGAGGAGGCGTGACAAGGGCGTAGCCCGACTTGAGGGGTGTTTTTTTCCTCGCCGATACAGGGTTCAGTTTCGATTGAAACTGGGAATTTGACGAGAACCCGAGGCGTAGAATACGCGCTTAGGTGCGCACGTTATCAGCCCATGCATGTATCCAAGAACGTTGTACAACGTGCGCTGCCGCGAAAAAAAATTAGTTTGTGTGTCTTCCCTGCTGTACCAGCAAAACATGTGCGTACCTGTGACTCCGCCTCGATCTCGTCGAGGCTGAACAGGCCGTAGTAGTTCGCGCACGCCACAACGCTGTGAATGCTGTTGTCCACCAAGAATACCTTCTCGCGCATTGGGGCGGGCCAGCACGGACGGACGGACACACAACCAACAGAGGCAGGCAGGCAGGCAGGCAGGCAGGCAGGTAAGCGGGCGCAACAAACAGGCGGTCAGCGCGCGCTACAAGGAACTCGGCGCGCTGTTTTGTGTTGGCGAGGAGGGGAGGGGGGGGGGGGCTACACAAACATGGGGGAGAGGGAGAGCTGTCGCAACCCGTTGGTGAGCGACATACGCTTAAAAACCCGCTCAATGTACATCTAACTTATGCATAGGTAGCGTTCTACCATCAACGAGGCGTCAGCAGTACTGTTAGGGGTGTTAAAGCGGCGGAATTTGGGGCCAAAAAAACGTCCGGTCCATTCGGCAAAATTTGAGGGGGGCACGCGGATTTGGTTCTTTTTTTGGTTCTTGAGAATCCCGCTGTTAATACTGAATAAACTATACATCAAGTCAATTTGTTTGTACAGGTAGCTCTGCGTCCACACAGCAGCATGGCTCTTCATGCGTTACACAAACCTGGACACAGGTCCAATAGAGGTGACTGTAGGATAGGTTTTCTCTTAAAGTAAAAGGGCGGACGAACAACACCAAAAAACATGATTTTTGGGCTATTTGCTCCACGCCCAAGGCGAACTTTGCTCCTCTCGTGAAAACGACCCTACAGCCCTCTACCTGGGGTTTACAGCTATACCACACAACAGACCGCATCCGAATTGCATCAGCCAACCACGAGATCTACATGTCTGAAAACTGTCCCTCCAGTGGGGCTGTAGCGCCCACACCAGCAGACCCTCCCAAAAAAAAAATCGAGGTCCGCGCCGTTCGGCAGCAGGAGGCGCGCTGCCCGAAAGCTGAATCAAAACAAAAAGAAGTTGGAAGAGAGGAAGGAGCAGTGTATGGTTGCCGCGTCAGCAGAAGATAACACGCGGCGCGCTATCGAACGCGGCAGCCTCACCGTCGTAGAGAGAACGCTGAAGCAAACGAAAGAAGAGTTAGTCAAAAGTAAGAAAATTGTGGAAGAGAGCCAGGCTCAACCTCGCTGCCGCCGCCGCCGCTGCTGCTGCTGCTGCTGCTGCTGCTGCTGTTTTTCTCAGCAGCAGCAGCGGCGGCGGCAGGTGCCTGCGTGGCTTCACCGCCCGGCTGCTGCTCGGGTGTGTCATGAGGCATGTGTTCTAGAGTGGGACCGCGCAATGGTGTTGTGCTGTGCCCCATAGCAGGGCGCAATGCACACAGGCGAGCCGCGACCTCGCGCGTGTGCGTCAGAGGGTCTTTTCGGGAGGTTCCGACGGTTCCGTGCAATTTCATTGGTTGGTCGATTTTCCATCAGCAAGATCCGAAGACGCTTTTTCGATTTTTTCCTATAGGAAGTTTTCCGCTTTGACACCCCTAACTGTATAATGGTACGGGCTACTGTGCGGACAACCCTCCGCATGTTGCGTGAGACAACACACGTCCCTGGGGGTCGGTTGTCAAAAGCTCGTTCGATGTGCACACAGCTAAGGGGGGTTGTGCCCAACCAACAATGCATCCTACGAGCTCTTCATCTCTCTCTATCTCTCTCTCCTGACAGACAAGATTTTTCCACAGCTGCCCTTCTCGACAGACAGGCTTCTTCTGTTCAGGGTGTATCTATCGAGCATTCCCACGGAACACACAGAAGTGCAGCCCCAAACACGGACGTGAGGCTCAGATCGACAAGCTTTCAAAGGTCTCTGATTCAAGCACACTATGCAAGGTTGAACGCGGCAAAATCGAGCTCGACACAACTCAGGAAGCGAACGATTTCGTTCGTCGGGAGGCAGTCAAACGCACGTGAATCAGCGTGTGGAAATCAAAAGGGAACGCCGACGAACCCGCTGTTTCGTCGCTACGAACCCGCTGTTTCGTCGCTAGTGCAAAGCAGTTCACATGCGGTTTGGGTTTTTTAGTTCAGCGAGACGTGCTCGCGAGCGCACACAAACAACCTGGCGCTTGATGACTGCCACCACTGCTGTTTGCCACAAACACCGCCGACACTCTGGCTTCAATTCCCACTACACCGTTCATCTCACAACTAAAAAACTGCAGCGTGCACACAATCTAGACAGATACGTGTGTGGTGTTAGCCTTAAGGCACATGACACACGGGAAACACACACACACATACTTCTGTTGCTAACGTTTCTGTCAATCATCTGCAGAAAATATAGCTTAGCCTCCCCCATGCCGCCCCCTCACGGGGTCCCAGTTAATGGCATTTAGAAGTGTTTTGTGTTTTCAACCGCACTGAGACTGGCGTCTTTTCATCGGCCAGCCGGTTAGCGCAGTCGATGCTAATAATAATAAACACAAGCACACACACCTCCACGTTGATCGCCGGCGGTCGTTCGGAGCGTTTCTTCAGGAGGTAATCGCTGTTCGTAAAGAGCTGCTGCACCGTGAAGTACGAGTCCGACCCGCTAGTTGTTCGGCTTGCTTTGCACAGGACTCGCTCCACTATCTCGCTGTAAGGACGAGTCGTAACGGAATGGGATAGACGACGCGCGGTGCACACCGACAAACAGCAGTTGAGGTGACAAGATCGTGGGCGACACGTTGAAAAAAAATGCACAAAACATACAAGGGGTTCCGGGGAGGCAGGCGGGGGTGGGGGGTCTCGAGGGAATCCGTGCATGATGCCACCGCCTACAACCGCCCGTTGCCATCGTATCAAGAGCAGAGACACGGAAGAAGACTGTCTTGCTAGCAGGGCGGCAAGGAAGACGGGCAGCAAGCAGGTACTAACGCCTTTGCTCGGAACAACAACCAGGCTCTTGGACACCATAGCTTGGCAAATCTTCCTGGCTGACAGCTCGTCTACTTCATATAAATTCATAAGAACCAGCTGATCGGTCGGCGAGAACAGTCGCAGCCACTTGTGTCGAGGGGTATTCAGATCGTTTCCTCGGCAATGAAGGAGTCGGCATATGCATCTTTTTGAGGCGGGAGTAGAAATCGCAAAACGTCAATTTCACCTCTTCCAAGCAAAGTCATGTCAGACAGCATGATGGGGGCGGGCAACATGCCTACATGGTGCCCGAACTCGATCTTGCGCGGCTTTTGGACACCGTTCACACCCACGCAAACGTAAACCACAAACAGACACAAATTAATTTACTGCATCACCACGCTTACCTTCCTGTCCGGTGGCCCTTGTAGGCTGGGGACTTGCTCAAGATCTCAACCACTTGCCGAAGCGACTCCAGAAACAGCTCGCCGTGCCCCGAAAAAAACTTTACGCCATTAAGAATTACCTGAGAAAAGATCCGTAGGGGGGGGCGTACACGTGTAAGGCGGGGATGCCCATCGTGGCAATCCCAAAAACGCCACAATTTATCAAAACTGGGGGAGGGATAGAAGGGGCCACGAGAGTTAATCTTAGTTCTTTCGTATGGGGGGGGGGAGGGGGGGTACACCGATACGTGTACCCGGGGATTTATACATGTGTGTTGACGGGCGTCAATTTTACCATCCAAACTACGGCACTTTCGTCAAGCCTCGAGAAAGGCGATGTTATGTAGACGTGGTTCTACTTGAGCAAGGGCCCCATGGGAGTCAAGCATGGACTGTACAACACATCGTGTCCCGAAGTACATGGCCACGGCACGGTTGCTTTTCGCAGCTGTTTCGAGTGAGTTGTGGCACGTTTCACACCTTACACAACGCTGGAGCACCGGCACTCAAGTAATTACCGTGGATAACATCGAACTTCTTGTACTGCTGTACGACCACGCCCCACGGGGCCTCACGGGGATGGTTTCGGCGCCTGACATCTACGAGTGTCAAAGTCTTCATTGGGCGTGAATGCAAGCGCAAATGGCAAGGACGCCGTATCTCCGGCCCCGAGGCGACTTTTATCTTCGAAATCTAGTAATGCAAATCGAACAACAGCAGAAATCATAGGAAGTAAACACACGCACCAAGAAGTGCGTTTACCCCAGCGCCCACACCGTGTGCATGGGTGCACATGTTGTTCTTGATGCGATGTCTCAGGTTTCACGAACTATTGTTTTCACATCTGTTCGGTCATACGGCCCGTTCAGGGTATCGGTTCTAATCTTAACTATAAGATGCGTTTGGGGTGCGAAGACGACCTCTGTAGCTGATGAAATCCTGACCTGAACTAAAACAGCAGTGGTACGTCCACAGAGGACATCGCTGTGGGGCAGTAAGATTTGAAGATGTATGTGGCGGTATACTGCGTCCATATGCGTGTTGGCGGCGACCGTCCCAACCGCTGCTCTGTGCAACAGCCAACGGATACCCTGGGAAATGGAATATTTATGACAGCAGTCATATTGAGCACACACCGACAAAAAAAGAAGTCCATGGCATCGTCTGTCGCTCCAACTGCGAAGCCGAGCCCCAAAACTATTCCAAAGGAGTGCCATAAGAACCAAATTAAAGTCAAAGGCGATCCTCAAACCCCAACGAATCCGGGCAACAGCAGCCGGGAGTGGGTTCGTTGTTGGTTTCTCCGCGCCAGCGGCGCAAACCGCTTGTCTGTGCGCGACACGACGCCGGAGGCCCGAGAAGAGCCCTACCTGAAATAAAAAGAAGACAAACATTTACAACTTGGCACACTCCCTTCTTCCCCTCGCTCCTCGACAAGCTTTTGCTTAGACATGGGTTGTAGTGAAGGGGGGGGTCTTTCTGGCGAGCAGGGCTAGACTCACCCTCAAGGGATGACCGAAACCTTCTTGCTGCTGCGCATATCCGCCGCGAGGCATGCGC